AGGCCAAAGCGGCAGTGATTTTAACATCATTGCCCTCATCTCAAACCTGCTTGCTTAAAAAAGTTCTTTGCCTTGTTCCGTTCATAAAAATGTTTATTTACAAACACTACTAACTTCCAAACCATGTTTCTGTCCTGTCTGTAAGACGACTTCACTCCCCCAAAACCTCGGGGCCCCTGCCACAAATATGCCCACAGTTCCGGTCTCACAAATTACACTCACACTTCTTGGTCTAGCGGAGCTCAGTGGAATCTGGTTTGTTAAATCTCATCATTTCACTCCCCAGTTCAAGCCATGGTTCTAGTCTGTCCTCGTCTTGAAGGGAACGAGAGTTGCACTTAGCAACTAATAACAGGACCATAATGAGGCCGAAACCATGCCCCATAGGGTTAAAAGGCCTGTCCAGAAACCATGCCCACAGGGTTAACAGCAATGGGTGACCAACAGAAACCCTCGAGCTCGTCCTACAGAACAGCAGGTGAGGGAAGAGCTGGTCAGGACCCTCACGGGTAACGCGTCCCGACCAAGCTCGCCTGATCTTTGACTCCCTAGCCAGCTCTATAGGTAACGCCTCTGACGTACAGGCCCCTTGGTTACTTGGGGAGCGAATCTGAGATGTGCTCTCCCGTCTCGTCATGAATAACCCCACGGCATCTCAGCGTCTGGCAAACGGACCTAGTTTGGTAACAAGACCCACTCATAAATCCATATGAACTAAAATTCTACATTTTACCTGAAAAAACAGCAGGTGTCCCTGATCATCACTGAAGATCGTCACTGAAGACCAGGGACAAGTGGCTGACTAAGCCACAGGCCAGCTGCTGTCCATCTCCTGCTTATAAATCAGAACTCAGAGGAGCCACACTTGCAGCAGATAAAATGTAGAATCTCCAGTTAACCTGGTGCTCGTTTTCCCAGGCAGTGAGGAAACCTGAAACAGGTAACAACAGTTTCCCCATCCCCGGGCACCGAGGGCCCGCGGGTGCCCCACGTCGTGGCCCGACTTCTTCTACAGCGAGGAGCCTGAGCACGGGGAGCCGAGGGTCACGCCCAGGACGCAGGTCTGAGCCCAGGCCGCCCACTCAACGGCTCTTGAGAGGCGTATGCTCGGCTAAGCCATTCCATGTGAACAGTTCCCTAAAACAAGGGAGAAATCAGTTATAGATCCAACATTCAAACTTGAGGGCCCACTTTTTAATCAAACACTCTGTAAGCAAGCACGTTGAGTATCACAAAAATATTCAGTTTACTGATAACACTACATATCTAATTTCCTAAAATTATTCAAAAAAATTCTTTGGCTAGAATTATATGAAAAACAGAAGGAAGTCAGCACAGTTATAAATAACCGTAAGCTTTAGGGATCTGCTCTGCACAGATGGCAAGCACTCATGGAGGTTAGGGTGAGGGGGTGCTGGTGCACGACAGACCCTGGGTTGGGAGCAAAGGCATGTTCTCACCTGTAAGCAAATCTAGGGAGCAGAAATGACGTTTACTTCTGAAAAGAAGAGCTCAGAGTGAAGCTGCCTGGATGAAAACTGCCTCCCGACTTCTTCCAAACCTCACCGAGAAAATTGCTGAGGTTCCAGAAAGGAATTAAAGGCATTCTGATGCACCTGACATCACGGTGCTGCCACGAGGCCAAGAGTGCCCGGCCCTGCGTGCCCTACTCCACCTGGGGGAGGAAGGGCTCAACCCACTGAGGAAGCAGAAGACCAGGCCTCCAGGGGGCAGCTGGTGGCTATTCTGCAGCTTCCCTTTGTCTATGAATAAGCCTCTATGTGCAGCCCTCCTGCCGGGCTCCCTTGGAGCTTATGAAGGAGACGGCCACACACACGGAGTGCAGACCTGGACCCAGTGCTCGTGTTGCAGGAACTGCAGGGCACACACAGACGCTCTGGGCTAATTCTAATAACGTTCCAGGGGAAGTGAGTTTTGATTTTAATCTCGACTCAAACAATGTCATATAACTTCAAGTAACCAAGATTTTTAAAATCTGTTTAAAATGGAACAGTGGGCAGGTAAGAGAGTCTTACAAATGCAGAGAAGCGTGGCTCCGGCTGGACCGTGCACCTGAATACTGAACACAGAGCACGGCAGCTCGGTCGTGGGCCACGGCAAACTGCCTGATGAGCCTGCTTGACAGAGGACTCTCCAAAGGGCACTCCCCACTTCAAGGAGGATAAGAGAAAATAATTGAGATAGTCCAAAGTGGCGTTAGAAATAAAAAATAAACCAGAAACAAGGTGAATGTTTCCCTATTTACATGTATAACTTTACTCCATAACATTTATATATATGTTTACATAAATTTATACATATATATATAAACTCTTATTCAAAACCATGAAATACCACCTATATGCTGCCTACAAGAGACTTACTTCAGAGCTAAAGACATACACAGACTGAAAATGAGAGAATGGAAAAAGCTATTTCATGCAAAGGAAACTACAAGAACACAGGAGTAGCAGTAATCGTATCAGACAAAACAGACTTTAAAACAAAGGCTATAAAAAAAACAAAGAATGGCATTATATAATGATAAAGGGAGCAATACAAGAGGATATTATACTCATTAACATATATGAACGCAATACAGGAGCTCCTAAATATATAAAGCAAATATTAACAGATACAGAGGGAGAAATTGACAACAATAGAATAATGGTAGGGACTTTAACACCCCACTGACATCAGTGGACAAATCATTCAGATAGAAAATCAATAAGGCAACATTAGTCTTAAATAACACAACAGAGCAGTTGGACTTAATAGATATCTACAACATTCCATCCCAAAACAGCAGAATACACATTCTTTTCAAGTGCACGTGGAACCTTCTCCAAGATAAATCACATGCTGGGCTACAAAACAAGTCTCAACAAGAGACTGAGGACAGAAATTCTATCAGGCATTTCTTCCAACCACAATATCATAAAACTGGAAATCAATTACAGGAAGAAAAATGAGAAAAGCACCACCATGTGGAGACTAAACAACATGCCACTAAAAAACAAATGGGTCAATAAAGAAATCAAAGAGGAAATCAGAAAATACCTCAAGACAAATGAAAATGGAAACACAACTTTCCAAAATCTATGGGATGCAGCAAAATAAGGTCTAAGAGGGAAGTTTAAAGTGACACAGACCTTCCTCAAGAAACAAGAAAATCTCAAGTAAACAACCTAAACTTCCATCTAAAGGAATTAGAAACAGAAGAATAAACAAAGCCCAAAGTCAGCAAAAGAACGGAGATAATAAAGATCAGAGAGGAAATAAATAAAATAGAGACCAAAAAACAACAGAAAGGATGGATGAAACGAGATTTTTTTTTAAAAGATAGAACAAAATTGACAAACCTTTAGCCAGACTCATCAAGAAGAAAAGAGAGAGGACCCAAATAAACAAAAACAAGAAATGAAAGAGGAGAAATTAAAACCAATGCCACAGAGATAGAAAAAAACATTAGAGAATCCTATAAACAGTTACATACCAACAAACTGGACAACCTAGAAGAAATGGACAAATTTCTGGAAACATACAATCTTCAAAACCTGATTCAGGAAGAAATACACAATCTGAATAGATGGATCACTAGCAGTGAAATTGAACTTGTAATTTACAAACTCCCAGCAAACAAAAGTCCAGGACTGAACAGCTTCAAGGGGGAATTCCACCAAACATATAAATAGCTAATACCCATCCTTCTCAAACTATTCCAAAAACTTGAAGAGATGAAACATTCCCAGATTCATCCACAATGCCACCATTACCCTGATCCCCAAGCCAGACAAAGATACTACAAACGATACAGTATCACTGATGAATACAGATGAATACAGATGCAAAAATCCTCAAACAAAATACATGCAAGTTGAGGGCTTCCCTGGTGGCGCAGTGGTTGGGAGTCCGCCTGCCGATGCAGGGGACGCGGGTTCGTGCCCCTGTCTGGGAGGATCCCATGTGCCGCGGAGTGGCTGGGCCCGTGGGCCATGGCCGCTGGGCCTGTGCGTCCGGAGGCTATGCTCCACAGCGGGAGGGGCCACAACAGTGGGAGGCCCGCGTACCACAAAAAAAAAAAAAAAAGAATTATATATATGCAAGTTGAATTTAACAATGTATAAAAAGGATCATACACTATGATCAAGTGGGATTTATTACAGGGATGCAAAGATGGTTCACTATTCACAAATCAATCAATGTGATGCACCACATTAACAAAAGGAAGGCTAAAAATCACATGATCATCTCAATAGATGCAGGAAAAGCATTTAACAAAATTCAATATCCACTCATCAAAGTTAGTATAGAGGGAGCATATCTCAACATAACAAAGGCCACTTACGGTAAACCCACAGCTAATATCATACTCAAAGGTGAAAAGCCTGGCTAATACACGACACCAAAGAATCCCTGCTGGTGCGGATATGCTGGCACCGAAGCTGGGTAAGGAAACGGCAGTGTGCTTTAGAAATGTACATGCAGGAACTTCCCTGGTGGTGAGTGGTTAAGAATCCGCCTGCCAATGCAGGGGACACAGGTTCGAGCCCCAGTCCAGGAAGATCCCACGTGCAGCGGAGCAACTAAGCCCATGCACCACAACTACTGAGCTTGCGCATCTAGAGCCCGTGCTCCCAAACAAGAGAAGCCACCGCAATGAGAAGCCCATGCACTGCAACGAAGAGTAGCCCCCGCTTGCCACTACTAGAGAAAGCCCGTGCGCAGCATCAAAGACCCAACACAGCCAAACATAAATAAATTTTAAAAATTAAAAGAAATGCACATGCAGGACGCAGAAGTAGCATCATGTCTGAGATTCGCTTTAAAATGTGAAACTCTTTGGGCTTCTCTGGTGACGCAGTGGTTGAGAGTCAGCCTGCTGATGCAGGGGACACGGGTTCTTGCCCCGGTCTGGGAAGACCCCACATGCCGTGGAGCGGCTGGGCCTGTGAGCCGTGGCCGCTGAGCCTGCGCGTCCGGAGCCTGTGCTCCGCAACAGGAGAGGCCACAACAGTGAGAGGCCCACGTACCGCAAAAAAAATAATAATAAAAATAAAATAAAATAAATAAAATGTGAAACTCTTCAGCAAAGGGAAACAAGAACAAACTTTTCTCACAATAAGTCTACTCTGTGCTGGCCACTAAGGAACCACCACCAGTATTTTTCACGTTTTGAATTCCTATGAATTATACCCAACTCAGGAGAAGAAAGGTCAGCACATTCCCCACCACAAACACCGTGTGAAAACACGCGAGAGGCACAGAAAGGAGGGAGTGAAGGAAGAAGAAAACACTGAATTTGCACTTCGACGAACGTAAATTCACAAAACGACAGAGCGAAGCTAAACAAAGGTAACTCAGACAAGGAACCCCTCTGCATTTTGTATTTCAGACTACATTACGCTAACCAGATTGTTTGTGAGTAGCCGGCTTAGTACTTTTTCCCTTAACGAGTCCAAAATACAGCGGAGGAGTCAATAAGACACAGGAGCTAAAATAAAAACACAAAACTGGTCTATGAGAGCAAACTTATATGACGGAGTTATTTCAAGGAGACGTGCAACTTAAAGGCAGTTTTGGACGATTAATTCATGCAGATACAGATGTGCAGCATTTGGAAGTGAGGAAAACCGTCAAGCTTATTCTTATCCTGCTAAAAAAATGAATTCCTATTTTTAATAAAAGTCCTGTTGTAAAGTCTACCTTCTATCCTGAAATAAAATAATGTTTCACATGAAAATAAACCACAAGCCATTTAGTTTTAAACAAGATAGGAGCCATGGTGTGAGCAATAATTTCTTTATTGCTGGTATAGCTGGGAGTTTACTAAACTTTACTTCTATTTCTTAAGATAAAAAGGAATCTAAATTCTCCCGAGTGATAAACCCACACGTACACAACCTTCCTGAAAGACTGTACCGGGGCGGCACTGACAGATCCCTTTCCACACCAGGGCGCTGCTGAGACCTCACCGGGGTGGTGGGGTCGACCTCCACCAGGGCCATCTGATTTTCGAACATGGTTGTGAGCAAGCAGAAGGCCTGCACGGACCGGTCGTGAGAGAATTAATGATGAACTCGAACTGTGGACACAGCTTTAGCTGTGCTGATGGTCACACGGCTTGCAGAGCCCCGTGTGATCCCCTGAACTCTCACACCCACAGTCTCAGTAAGCAGCCACTACAGCGCCGTTGGGAGAAAAGAAGGATAAAGCACAGTACAGACAGGCGCACTGTGCAAACTCTACGCATAGTGAATGGCCTACGACTCACCTCACGACCACTGGTTTTGCTCATCACAGCACACGAGCCAGCAACGTGAATGCGGAGGCTCCTGAAATCTTAATTTCCAGCAAGGAGGAACAAACAGGCAATATGGCAGGGGTGCTCCCTGCGGTCTCCCTGAGTGCCTGCTGCACACAGGCTGGGGCCGGGGGCTCGACATCAGGACACCAGGACATTAGGAGGGAGCAGACAGGCCCTGCCACTGGGGCCCGCAGCTCAAGGCCCGGCCCACGGAGAGCTGACCCGGCCCAAGCCCGCGGACTAAACACACAACACGGCTGTGAAAGTGCTGGGAAGCGCAGCGTCCCTGTGAGAACACAGAGCCGGGTCTAGGGGACATCCAGTTGGGTCTTAAAGGATAGACCAGCGGGATGGGGGGCAGGCGTGGGCACTGAGGCCAGTGGAGGCTTGGAGAGTTCAGGGACTGTCACATGAGCGGACAGATGACAAGGGAGGGGTGACGTCCCACGAGGAGGTGAGGTGTGGCCTGGGCCCCACCCCAGGCCGGCAGGGATCCCTCAGGGCGCAGGGCGCAGGCAGTCGGCTCAGAAGTGGCCTCGGCTGTAGGGCCCACGGGGGGCCGGGGGGGGCGGGCAGGAGTCGGTCATCCCCGCAGCTCAGCGGACACCAGGAGGGGCGAGGAGACGTCGCTCAGCCTGACAGGTGTGAGGGTGACCAGGCACCACACCAAGACTGCGGCAAGAACACGGGCAGAGCCGACTTCAGGGTCCCTGACGCGGCCTGGCCGAGCCCCAGGACAAAGAGGGAGGGCGCCGGGCTGCCAGCGGGACTGGGGACGCCAGGAGAGGCCAGGGCGGCGTGGCGGTAACCCGCCAGCCTGGTGAGAGCAGCTGGCGCTGGGGACCAGCACATCTTGTCCTCCTCACCTCTGACCTCCACACGTGGCAGGCAAAGCAAACTTTTAAAGTTACACAAAGTTCACACCAAAGATCCTTTGAACGTAGGTCTTACCCTTGCAACGTAAAATGGCCTCCAGTTCAAAGTCTGCCAACTTAAATATGAATAAACCCGCTGAGCTTCCAGTCTGCAAGCAGCTGGCATTCTCAGAAGAAAGACTAATTTTAAAAGAAAAAGAGAAAAAAGTGTCCTGATCTTCCCAGCTCCAGGGCACCGAGAATTGCGCTGGACCCACGTGAGAGGAACAGATGATGCACAACCTTGGCGACCTGAGGGTCCCTCTGCCTGTGTCCCAGGGGCCAGTCCGATCACTTATAACCTCTCAGCACATCCCAGGGTCTGGGTTTCCTAGACACCCACTGTCTAGGGAAGACAGGGAGCTCAAAGGGCCACAAGCTGGGCCCAACTCAACTCTGGACGGAGGTTTTTCTCCCCCCTGACGTCACAGGAGGTCAGCACATCGGCCCCCGCGAGACCCCACACAGGTGGGCTTCCCCGCAGGCGGGCTCCATGCCTGCGTGACGGCTGCACAGAAGACCCTGCCGGGCGGTGCTGACAGGCTGGAGACTGACCGACAGCAGCGTGCACATCAAGGCACACACAGATCTGCCATTTCTTCTTTGTTTTTCCGTTTACAAACTAGACGCAGGCTGTAATCTGATTGATCAGCCGCCTCTGGTTTCATCAGACCTGGACTCAGAACGGCCTCCACAGACACCTCTGTCCCACATGCGCCTTGGCATGAAGCCAAACAGCAGCCTCAGCCACTGCCCAGGCTGTTCTCGGGTCCTCAGCCTCCAACACCAGCCCCAGGGAGACCAAGCGAGTCTGAGCAGAAGTGGGATCACTGCTCCCTGAGGGACGGTGGGGACCCAAGGCCTCAGACTCACTAGTCAGCTCAAGTTCGGGCCGGGCGCTGTTCCGGACCAGGCAGGGGCACCTGTGCAGAGACACGACTGTCTGCTGCGCAAGCACAGAAGGGCTGCAGCCGCACCAGCAGCCTCCTCAGGTCTCCCACACCAGCAGGGCCAGAGGCTGCTCTTTAGTCATCTCCAGAGCTCTCCAAACTCTGTGTGGAGCCAAGGGGAATGAGGTCACGACATCACCCTTTGCCCTACTGCAGAAGTCAAGATCTGCCTAGATTTGGGTGAAGAAAATTAATCTCGCTTTTTTAATAAAATAGACTTTAAAATAACTGGCCGAGATTATCAACCTTAAGACATAAAATATGCAGTCCTAAGAACACTTACACTTACGGTTATGTCAGACAAAGATAATTCGGTTTATTTTAATCATTCTAGAAAAACAATGAACCTAATTTAGGAAGGAGGCTTTCTCCATACGGCCGTGGCGGAGTCCATGGTACTTACAAACCACAGTCACAGGGCGCCAGGCTCAGGACAGGAAGTGTCACTTCAATCTCTTCTCCTGTGTCCGGTGCCTTTGTGGAGGGAGGCTGACTGTCTTCTAGGGACAGAATTACTGACAATCTGAGAGGTGACGTTAAAATGATTAGTCAAGGTCAAGGCTAACAGCTGACCCAGTGGGATGTTGTAGGAAATACATGTTGCTGGAAAGCTCAGATCACGAAACAAGAAAAATCCTTAGGCTTATACATTATAAAGCACAAGGTTAGAAATAAACATTAGACCCTATATCATGAGGCCTGTGGGAGAGAGATGGAGTCTCAAGGATAGATCCACAGAAAGGGGGTGAGGAGGAAATGGTCTACTTAGAGATAACTGTGAATTCCTAAAGTGGGCTTATTACTTCATAATAAATGAGTATTTACACAAGAAATAATGAAAGCCAAGGCAAACACATTAGGAAAAAGTAGATCTAACGGATAAAGGCAATTTCTGACCTGCTTTAAAAAGAAACCGCTTACAGCCATTTACCTATATATATACACACATATACCACAAACTGAAAGAACACCAACCACGATAAGTCTGAAGGCGAGCAGAGCAGAGACACACCTGCTGTAACAAGAAAATGAAGGACGCAGGTGCCTAGGAAAGAGACTCCATTGCGGGATTAAACGGTAAAAAGCAGTAGCTTCCCCAGCTCCTCCGGGGGCAGAGCGGCAGACACTCGGCACCTGGCGACGGGGACAGGCGTGGGGAGGGAGGGGTGACGAGCGGGCTCAGTGGAAAAGCCGCGGACCCCTGGGCAGCCCCCGCTGTGACACTGCCAATGGGCTGGAGAGCCGCAGCCCGCTGTCCACTAAGACAGGTCTCCACCCGCCCCACCCCGCCGCTCCCACAGGACCTGCCTCGTCCGGGACCCTGGCTTCTCCTCCCTCTCCCTCCACCCCCTGCTAGGGAGGGGGTCACTGTGGGCCTGAGCCCCGTGGGCGGGTCTGCAGGGCATCACCTGGCCAGGTGCATGGCTTGGACTCCACCCCACTGGTGCGGAAACTCTCTCTTTCCTCAGGTCAACGTGTGTCACACAGTGATAATGGTGTCCTTCCACCAAACCGAAGGTCCGAAGCTGGAAAAGCAAAACACATCTAGACACGCAAGACCACGTGTAGACACAGGACTCTCACCAGGTGGTCGGATGCAAAGCAGGAAGCCAAGGAGAAGAGTGAGCAGGGAGCTGACAGGGTGAGAGGCAGTGCCCTGGCTGCTCTCCTCTGGCCTCCAATCCTTCCCTCCCTCATGCCCCCACCCGGGGGCGTCCTCCTAACGGCACATCGGGGGGCAGTGCCGACTTGAGGTGCAGACACAACCCAGCGGTCACTCGTCTTCTGCAAAACACTGGACCAAGCACGGTGTGCTCCCGTCCCCAGCACCGCACGCCTGGTCTCTCCAAACACAGCACGGTGGACACAGCCCACACGGAGCTCCTAAAACCCTTGGAATCTCCTGATGAGAGTGACCACGGTGTCACTTGTTATGTTAATGAGGTGACTTCTGGAAAGCCCTCAGGTCACCTAAGGATGGAGACTGGTTGCCAGGGGAACCACCGCTGACCTCGGGGGAGGGGTGCAGGGGCTGGAGACGGACTTCTATCACCCACCGCCAAGGATCGAATCAATCCTGCCTAAGCAATGAGCCTCCATGAAAACCCCAGAAGTGCAGGTTCAGGGAGATCCAGGTGGGTGACAACATCCTCCCTGGGGTGCGATGCCCCCCACGTCCATGCGAACAGAAGCTCCTGTGCTGAGGACGCCCCCAAACCTTGCCCTGGTAGCTCTTCCTCTGGCTGCTCGCCTGTATTAATCAAGCAGAGGAAGGGGCCGTGGGAACCTCTGATTTGCAGCCGAGTCAGGCGAAGTTGTGGGTGACCTGGGGACCCGCTACCTGCGACTGGCATCTGAAGTGAGGGGCAGTCTCGTGGGACTGAGCCCTTAACCACCTCCAGGTAGACAGTGTCAGAACTGGGTTAACTGTGGGACCCCCGCTGGTGTCATGCTGACCGGCTTCCTGGGGGACCCCCTCCCCCCGTCTGGGGACAGAAGCATCAGAAGAGTGCGATGTGAAAGCCAAGGAGACGCACAGGAGGAAGACCTGGGTTACCTCCTCACGCGAGGTCCTTCCCAAGTTACATCAACAGCCACTGTTTTTAAAAGAGAACAGTATCCATGCTTTGTGAAGTAAACCTCAATTGCTCACCTAAAATCTGGTAAATGGAATATTTATAAATGGAGTATTTCCTGCCATATCAATAAACAAAGGATGTCACAGTCACCAAAGATTGCAGCCCTGCCTGCAACTTGAGCCGAGGAAGCTCAGGGCTGAAAAGAAAGCTGCCGTCTAGCAGCCATCAGGCTGCAGCCACTCCCCGCGGCGAGCCCTGAGGCAACTCAGCCCAAAAATACTGGCCCCAGGTAGCTGAGGTGCACGTCAAAGGAATGACTTCACTGAGGCCAGACTCTTGCGTCTTCCCATACATAGAAAAGCGCCGAATTCCTTGAGATGCCTGGATTTCTTTATTTAACGATAATCCTTTGATGTTCCGACTAGCTGCCCTTTGCTGCCAAACTCCTACATACCCTGGCCCTCAGCCTCCCAGCCCCTCGCCTGGTCGGAGCAGTTCTCAGAGTTACCTGAAATGCCACGTCCCGGGCCGCAGTCCTCATTTTGCCCCAAATAAAACTTAACTCACAGCTCTCACGTTGTGCATAATTTTTTAAGTCAACAAAACTAAGTTTTTAAAAATATCAAATATCTTCAAATTTCTCAAAATATATAAATCTGACACTAGTGGTTGTACGAGATTTTACAGAGGACCGAGCCTCTCTGCAGGCGAGGCCCCGCGGGTATGAAAACCCCACCAGGCGCTGGAGGTACGGCCTCAGCAAAGGATACAAAGCAACAGGGAAACAGAGACCTTCGTGCACGTGTTCACTTAGTCATAACAACGTCTGAAGACTGGAGTTAGCCTGTGGTCCTCACCTGGCCATCCACACAGCCGGTGACCAGCTACAGCCTTCGCCGGTCCACAAGGAGGCTCAGGAGGGGAGAGGCTATTGGAGGGGGCACGTGCGTTCTTAGCTTTAAAGGTGTCTGACAGAGTTTAAACTGGGAGCCAGCACTTTTACTGATGGTATTTCTTTTAGTCACATGTGAACTATTCCAAAGTAAGTTCTTCACCAGGAAGTAGAAACTGTAAGTGAACACAAATTTCGGAAAGTGCATGAGTGTGCGAAGACAGCGGTCGGAACGGCCCGGGGGAAGCCTGGGGGGTCATCCCAGCCCCTCCATGAGTCACGAACTCCCAGAGTGCGAATAGCACCAAACAACATTAAACACGCAGCAACAACGATTCTTAAGTAAGAAACAATAAGACTACGGAATTAGTGGTGAAAACAGCAATTAAATGAATGTCTCTTTTTTAAATCGTTGCCTAGGATGTCATTTCATTTAAAACTTACTGTGAATCCAGAGTGTCAAGGATTTAGAAGGAGAGTTAGGATACATGAATATTGAAAACACTGCACGTCCTAAATAAACTTTATAGATGACATCAAAATCAAGTTTATAATTGTTTTCTTAACAGTCAAATAAAGTCCCCACAGTTAATTTCAGGAAAATAATTCCAACATAATTCCAAGAAGTATGCTCTATCCCTGAGACTGATAAATGGATTCAAACCCCCTTGACTGTCACAGCTCCGGCTTACAGGTTAACATGTATGTATTAGGTTACACATAGCCCACGGACAGAAAACAGGTAAAAGTTTTAAGTTACCTGTTAACACTGATGAGCTGTATGTTAATGATCCCATGCGATGGTCCCAAACCTTTGGACAGACACACGTTTCTTTAGAAGAGGTCAAAATTTTGCCATTATTGCTATAGTTTGAACTAATACTTCTACCAAATTACAAATTAATTTATGTGAATGGTTATCTAAAGGACAAAATAATAAGCATATAAATAATAAAACTACAGAAATACAATTAAAGATATCAGCATCATACACACAGGAAATAAACATTTCCAGAAATAACAACCTATAGTTTTGGAAGACCCATACAAGAGAAGGTTGGAGACGTTTCCAGCACTTCATCAACACTGCCGAGAAGAGGGGACAAGGTCACTGTCACCTGTATCCTGACGACAAAGGACCAGTTACTAAGCGACAGGCGCACCCTCCTGTTTTCCAAACATCCGCTCTAATTCTCACACCCCTTGAGGAGACGGAGGCCATCATTTCCATTTTCCAGATAAGGGAGGTCAGGCGAGCTCGGTTAATCTGTCAGCAGCAGTTGGTAAGTGGCGAGCTGGGGTTCTGGCCCCAGCAGTCTGCTCCAGAGCTCTTGCAAGTGCGAAATTTCAAGGTGACAACAGAAGCATTTTTACAATCTCTCTCCTCTCTCGCTCTCTCTGCAGATGCCTGTTAATCACCCCCAACTTTCCTTCAGCCACAACATAGGACATCCTCACTTTGTCAGTTAGAAAATACTCACAGTGCACTGACTCGGAGGTGGATGGGAACTGAGCTTGCGTTTTGCGTTATTTCCTTCTTAAGCCTAATTTAGCTCTGAATGAATCTTCTGATATTGGAAAGTGGCCCTGCTGCTGGGCCCCTAGGATATACTGTGGAGGTAAATTAAGGTGCTAGCTCTCCAGGGCCCTGGATTCCGGGAGAAGGAGGGTCCCGTCACTGACTCGGCCCACCTGGAATGCCAGGCCACCAGAACGTGCCACGAGCCCCGGCCCCCAGAGCCGCCCAGCAAGCAGCCAAGACATCGGGCTGAGTCCAGGACAGTCACCCCTCGGACGTTACGCGTGTGGCAGTGACCACGAACCAAAAGCACAACACAAATCGTTCACACACCACCACAGTCTAACGCCCGTCCCGTACCTCGAAGCTTCTGTCCTCGGACACCGCGATGATGACACGTGCCTGCCAAGTGCAAAACGCGGCCGCGGTCACTGGGCCCTGGGGACCCTGCAGCTCGGCTAGGGTAGACCGGCCCTGGGGGAATTGGTGAGGGAAGACCAGGCACCGAGTGTTCTGGTAATTATTATTTTTATTAAGAAGTTCTATGAACTTCACAGAAAATAGTTTCTATTAGAATTAATTCTACTTTACATAATCCCCTGGTCCGAATTTGGAACTTCCTGTGCATAACGCTGGAAGCTAAAGTTCAGGGGCTGAGCCGAGAGGGAAGCGCCGCGGTCCTGGCCCCGGGAGCAGCGACTGAAGAAATGAGACTGACCAAGGCCGACACCCCCGTCACGCCCTGAAGCAGCATCTGGGGCGCCCCACCTCCCCACGGCCCACACCCCGCACACACTGCCCCGCCGCACCCGCCGCCAGGCCGGCCCTGCAGAGGCGTCCGCACTCCATGCCAGGCTTATCACTTTCTCTTTCGGGAGCATCTGTCTTCCTTCAAACACTGTACGTGCTAAGTGTCCTCCTGCTCATCCTGGTTTACCTTCCCCTGACATGAATATGGTGTTTGTTAGGTATGGGGGGTGACCATCAAAAGGTGTCTGCACAAAACGTTTTAAACATTTACAGCTCAAATGCCAACGTGTCGCTGAACAAGCTCACAGCCCTGCCCTGATCCTAGGTCACCTCCACCATCTGACCTTTTGTTATGTGCGACCCTCAACTTCACAATCTGGCCCAAAATTGTTTGAAGACAGAAACATCCACTCTGCACTGCAAACTGCCTGGCACACCTGAGGCGCCATGGCTTAACCATCAGTGAAGGTTTGGTGCGCTAACGTCCCTCCTACGCTAGGTTTTGACAGTGGAAATGGCAAGAAAATGCCTTGCAGGCAACTAGCTTTGCTGACTGCATTCACCTGGCAAACGGAAGACAAGACACGACACCAGGCCCTGGAAGATCTGTCTCCAAGCTGCGTCTCGGGCAGAAGGTGAGTTCTGAGGAAGAAGCCGCCTGCTCTCCAGGCCTGGCGTCCGGCCAGCGCGTAGAGCAACCAAAGCACAGAACCCGCAAGAGGTGGCACACCTACTTAAACTCAGCCCAACTGAGAATTAAGGCAGAAGAGGCCAATTCTTGATGAACAGCAAATTTTGCTAGAAGAGATAAAAGCACTTTCCAGGCCTTGAAGAGACCGCTCGAGTAGGAGCCGATCAGAGAAACACAGTTTACCACACGTGTGCTCAGTGAGCCCTGGTGTCCAGACTTCCTGGAAAGGTTTCCTAATTTACATAGAACAGCAGTATCTGGGTCCAGTGCTTTCCAATCGCAAGATAAAGAAATGTTTTCATTCGTTGCCCCTCACATCTTTACAAAAACAGGCCCAGTTACAAACCCTGCTGAGAAGAGGCAGGTGAGGCCCAGCACTGGGAGCGTGGGCGTCGTGCCGGGGAACTTCACGCGGTGTCGGGTCTTAGCTCAACGTCCAGTGTGAATACTTTGTTTCCAGCACACACCGCAGTGACATGATCGGTGGGACTAGGCCTTAAACACAGCACGTTTCCCAGGAGGGTGCCGAGGACGGTCCCTCGTGGAAGGCGCCCTGGAGGGAGTTGGGTCATTAGTGTAATGTCCGAGATGACCTCATGGGAGACGCTGAGAGCGTAACCCTCTATTCCAGGATTACGTGCAGAATGACGTGAGCTTTGGTTTGATTTTGGCTCTTTGAGAGCATTAAAAACATTGAAAAGTTCTTCTGGAAACACGTGGAACACGGGCACTGTCTGTGGGGAAGACACTGCATCCGAGGATGACGGCATGTCTTGCAGAAGGCCACGCGCACAGACTCCAGGTGAGTTGTGCATCCCGTCCTCCCTCTTCCCTGCATCCGCCGCGGCTCCACACCTGGCCAGTGACCTGCTTTGGCCCGTGGCAAGCAGACAGAAGGGACACTGTGCCCATCTGAGCAGAAAGGTCCTCAAGGAGACAAGACCATTCGGTCAAAAAACAAGAGAAATAAGAAATGATGGAAAACACCCACAAGTCGTTTAGACCTTGAAACCAAACCAGAACTGATCCAGGTGTCAAAACTACTAAATAAGGACATTTAAACAGTCATTATAACTTCATTTCATATGTTCAAAAGGTTAAACAGAGGCTTAGAATATATTTTTAAAAGACCCGATTCTAACTTCAAGAGACGTTATTTTTAAATAAAGTGATTCCAGTTTATTTCCTAAGTCAAAACTTAATATGCTTTGTTCTGTTAGCATTTTTCTCCCGTAGCTGGTAACTGAATCCACAAAGGGCAGACTCGGCCAAACAGCCTCAGAGGAACAGAGCTTGACGGCAAATTTCTGTGACTTAACAAAAAACACGTATAACTTTTTAAATACCTGGTGAGGAGGTTCCTTGGTGTCCCATACACAAAGTTCGTTTCTATCTAAGGGGAAAGCACAGGACTGCCCACTGCCCACTGAACGTGGGATGCGGACTTCTTGGAATCCACCAGGTATTTTTCCACGACTATATCACCTGCGTGGCCATCATTTATGGAGAAAATCTCTTGTGGTTCTTCCATCTTCAACCTGAAACACAAAGTACATATAAGCGGACTATGGGTATGGTATTTCATGCAGAGGACAGTCTGTTGTTTACTCATAATTACCGGTATGATCACACACACGTCACACCTGGTGACTCGTCTTCCCTCCCCACCCCCAAGAAAAAGAAAATCACTGACATCCCGGAAGTTCCCTGTCATGACTGCTCACTGCTCCCACAGGCTTTCAAGTTAAGCAGACCTCGGTTCCAGCGCCACGGCTCCCACTGAGCAGACCTTGCTTCCACGCGGAGCGCCTGCTCCCCCAATGGGAACGGAGGGAACGCCAGCCACCCTCACAGAGGCCTCGCGAGGACCAGACGATGCTCCAGCACCGGCACCAAGAAGTGCTTTCAGAGAGCCACGACCAAAATCGAAGACTGTCAGCAACGATTAAGATGCAAAGTTATGGGCTTCCCTGGTGGCGCAGTGGTTGAGAGTCCGCCTGCCGATGCAGGGGACACGGGTTCGGGCCCCGGTCGGGGAAGATCCCACGTGCCGCGGAGCTGCTGGGCCCGTGGGCCATGGCCGCTGAGCCTGCGCGTCTGGAGCCTGTGCTCCGCAACGGGAGAGGCCACAACAGTGAGAGGCCCGCGTACCGCAAAAGAAAAAAAAAAAAACAAGATGCAAAGTTATGTTCTACACTGATGAACAAAGTCAGTGGTGAACTACAAAACAAATCCATACCCGTTATGCATCTGGGACTCGTTCAACTAGTTCACAACATTCTAGGTCGTCAAAGTTGGTTATCTCGGCTTATACAACCACTGGTTCACTGGCTGTGTCTTATAAAGCATCAATCAGTGACACACAGACAGAAATGAAAACAGTCTCAGACCTGTCCCACTTCATAGTCAGTAACTCCGTAACGGCTACCAGGTTATACACATGCGGCAGTAGCCCTGGGTCACCCCTGATTCCGCACCACCTCACGGGCACCAGACACACCTGAAGCCTCAGCTACAAAGTCGTGAGCAAAGCGCCTCGCCATCCGGCCACCAAGCTGGTTGTTTAGATTCAGAGAACCCAGCCACGTGGTCACCATGCTGGCTGTGTGGACTCGGCCTGGACAGGCCTCATGGGGGAAGTGGTAGTAACACAGAAGAAGACTCTGGACAGTTACCAGCAGAGATGGGGTGGGGCTAAGAAGTGGGGGCAGCTGATGCTCCCGAGGGGAGATCCTGGGATGGTCGCTGCTCAACAGACCGCAGAGCAGGGCTCATCCTTATGCTCAGGGGACCCTGGGGAGCTAAGAACTGAGACAATCAGGGCTGCCCGTCCGGAAACACACACGTCAATCTGGCCGCAGCGCCGGGGGTCAGAGTTGAGAGGGGCTGGGTGGGGACGACGGGGCTAAAGCCAAGTCCAGGCCTGGGGTCTGGCCCAGAGAACCTGGTCAGTAGCTCTGCAAGGACAACGGAAGGTCAGCCAACACCTCAGTTTCCACCCTCTCCTTCCCTTGCAGACCTTTCCTGTCCCCACATTTCTCTTAACCGCACAACCGTTTTCCTAGTTTCCAAGTTTCCAGGCATAAAGCTTGAGTGAATATTAATTCCTTCCTTTTTTTGCCCTCATATCCAATCCATGCCCAGCCCTTTCTTTCTTCGTGGGGAATTTCAGATTTGTCCCTCAAACACCCAGCGAGTGAAGGGTCATGCCAATCCTAAAGGTATAATCTGCTGCAGACACCTGGTGGATTACCTGCTAAAATTGCAGTGATTCTCTCTTTCGGGGGCCAGAATCCCATTAGCACAGAAGCAAAGAACGCGGAAGCCGAGGGAAGGGGGATGCTGCCATGGGGTGTGGAGCGGAGAACGCGCTGTGTAGAGAACAGCAGGACTGGGTCTGGGCCACTGGGTCCCAGCATTTGGTTCTACTCCTTCTGTCTTGAATTCGGTGGGGTTTCCCTTCATCTAGGCTATTCTGTTATTTCCAACCAGAGAGCCCTAAATAATGGACTATCTGATTTCATTCCAACTGTGAAAAGAAACAGCACACAATCTGAGACAGCGGGAGCGCAGGACCTCAGCGGTGGGAAGTTCACCGCCAGAGGGGACCGGCCGAGGGGCCTCAGGCTGGGGCTCCCACGCAGCACGCCCCGCACGACGAGGAATGTACAGATCTAGACTCCCCAGGCCACTTCATGGAGGGTGACCCCCCAGCATACACCTCCTGGGTCGATGGGTGGGGCTGTAATCACCTCCCAGCCTGCAGGTGCAGGGGTCGCGATTTAACAAGTTTTATAATTGTAAAGTACCCAGTGCCTAGCACTGCTGGCACGTGGAAGTGATGGGTGTACGTGTCCCCAGTGGATGAGAGGAAGTTACTGTGCCTCCTTCCGCTGTGTTTTGAAAGCATAAACATTTCAAGAGACACATGAAATAATACATCAAAAGTCACAATTGTTTCAAAATTTTTAAGAATCCACCCATCAAACTGTGATAAACTGTATTGTATTTGTCTTATTTCAACTGTCTTAATCTCTTCTGTAATTCCTATAGAGTTTATCACCATGATTTGCAAATAGTATTTTCATAGATATTAACATGTAGATTTGTGTTTATCAATAATACATTATACCACTTAATTCTTACAATAACCCTTTAAAATGGTTATATTTTTTCCCATTTTCCAGAGAACAAAATCAGAAAAATTAGAAAGTGTTAAGACTAGTCAGTGGAATCGCCACACCTACACTTTCTGACTCGTGGTGGGTAGCACCTCCACCAGGTGCTTTAATGTAACCTCACAGCCCATCTGGTCCCAGAAAGCGTTGCCTCAGCAGAGAAGGAAACACACTGAGGGGAGGAGCGTGGGTCTGGTCTGCCACTCAGGGCCACCTCAGGGCTTGGCATCTATGCCCACGGCGGCAGGTGACCATGCTCGGAGCTGCCACCTCCAAACCTACTCACCCTATTTATTCTGACTTGAGCCCCAAGAGGATTTGCCAACCCTCAGGACCAAATGCACGGTTTGGGCTGGTCTCTCCCAGGACACAGATGTGGTTTTCCTTTGCACTGAGTTGCAGCCCATCCCAACTAATTCTAACCAAAAGGCTGAGCAGAGCCCAGGACAGAACTCTGGACAGACAGCTGAGCTGGGATACAGTATGAAGGAATATCACCCTGAGTGTAAGAAACAGACCATTTTAATTTTCAGGGACTAGACAAACACTTGGGAAATAATAGCAAAAACAACTGAATTTCAGATGGATTGCAGGTTACCAAACACAATTAAAAAATAAAAAACAACGAAGGGCTCAAGATGGTGGAGTAGAAGGATGTGCGCTCACTCCCTCTTGCGAGAGCACCGGAATCACAACTAACTGCTGAACAATCATCGACAGGAAGACACTGGAACTCACCAAAAAAGATACCCCACATCCAAAGACAAAGGAGAAGCCACAATGAGACGGTAGCGGGGGCACAATCACAATAAAATCAAATCCCATAACTGCTGGGTGGGTGACAGACACTGAAGAACAATTATACCACAGGAGTCCACCCACTGGAGTGAAGGTTCTGAGCCCCACGTCAGGCTTCCCAACCTGGGGGTCCGGCAACGGAAGGAGGAATTCCTAGAAAATCAGACTTTGAAGGCTAGTGGGATTTGATTGCAGGACTTCGACAGGACTGGGGGAAACAAAGACTCCACTCTTGGAGGGCACACACAAAGTAGTGTGCGCATCGGGACCCAGGGAAGGAGCAGTGATCCCATAGGAGGCTGAACCAGACCTACCTGCTAGTGTTGGGGGGTTTCCTGCAGAGGCGGGGGGTGGCTGTCTCACCACGGAAACAAGGACACTGGCAGCAGAAATTCTGGGAAGTACTCCTTGGCGTGAGCCCTCCCAGAGTCCACCATTAGCCCCACCAAAGAGCCAGGCAGGAGCAGTGTTGGGTCGCCTCAGGCCAAACAACCAATAGGGAGGGAACCCAGCCCCACCCATCAGCAGACAAGTGGATTAAAGTTTTACTGAGCTGCGCCCACCAGAGCAACAGCCAGCTCTACCCACCACCAATCCCTCCCATCAGGAAACTTGCACAAGCCCCTTAGATAGCCTCATCCACCAGAGGGCAGACAGCAGAAGCAAGAAGAACTACAATCCTGCAGCCTGTGGAACTAAAACCACATTCATAGGAAGATAGACAAGATGAAAAGGCAGAGGGCTATGTACCAGCTGAAGGAACAAGATAAAACCCCAGAAAAACAACTAAATGAACTGGAGGTAGGCAACGTTCCAGAAAAAGAATTCAGAATAATGATAGTGAAGATGATCCAAGACCTCAGAAAAAGAATGGAGGCAAAGATGGAGAAGAGGCAAGAAATGTTTAACAAAGACCTAGAAGAATTAAAGAACAAACGAAGATGAACAATACAATAACCGAAATGAAAAATACGCTAGAAGGAATCAATAGCAGAATAACTGAGGCAGATGAACGGATAAGTGACCTGGAAGACAGAATGGTGGAATTCACTGCCGGGGAACAGAATAAAGAAAAAAGAATGAAAAGAAATGAAGACAGCCTAAGAGACCTCTGGGACAACATTAAATGCAACAAAATTTGCATCATAGGGGTCCATAGGGGTCCCAGAAGGAGAAGAGAGAGAGAAACGGACCAAGAAAATATATGAAGAGATTACAGTCAAAAACTTCCCTAACACGGGAAAGGAAATAGCCACCCAAGTCCAGGAAGCACAGAGAGTCCCAGGCAGGATAAATCCAAGGACAAGAAACATAGTAATCAAACTGACAAAAATTAAAGACAAAGAAAAATTATTGAAAGCAACAAGGGAAAAATGACAAATAATGTACAAGGGAACTCCCATAAGGTTAACAGCTGATTTCTCAGCAGAAGCTCTGCAAGCCAGAAGGGAGTGGCATGATATACTTAAAGTGATGAAAGTGAAGAACCTACATCCAAGATTACTCTACCTGGCAAGGGTCTCATTCAGACTCGACAGAGAAATCAAAAGCTTTACCGACAA